AAGTGAGGTTGACCCAGGATCAGGCAGTGTTTCGTTCTGCTGTGCATAAGGTTGCTATGGGTGGGTACCAACTCGATGGCACCTAACAACAACAACAAGAACATGGTGCCCCAGAAAAGCCTGGGAACTGACTTCTAAAAACCTGGTCACCGAAAATCCTTGGGAGCCCAGTTCTACCCCACCGGTCCCATTTCAGTAAGTAGGCCTTTAAGTAGATGACCTGCTTACCGAGTTTGAAAATAACAACTTTTAAATCTGCTCTAGTCCTCAATTCTCTCCCAATTAGTGACAGAGCGGGTTAAGTTCTGGGCTGCTCACCCAATGTCAGCAGTTTGAACCCACCAACCACTCTACAGGAGAGAGAGGAGGCAGTCTGCTCCCTTACGGATCTATAGCTTCAGAAGCAGCTCTTGTCTGCTCTTTGAGGCTCCTGGGAGTCAGGATTAACGTGCCAGCAGTGGGTTAGATTAGCATTTCTGATGCTTCCAGAGAAATAGACCAGTTCATCAGCAGGCCGCCCCCACCCAAAAAAAAACAAAACAAAAAACCAAACTTTAATTTGAATAAAAGTATAATATCCAACATAAAAAACAAAAGAAATAATTTAGCATGTTTAAGAATAATAAGGCTTAAAATCCTGATTTTGTTGAAACTTTTTTTTCTTGGCTCAAAAGAATATTTCAATCAACTTCCATTTTTAATTCCTTTAAATACCCTCTCTGCTTCTCAACAGTGATCTTTTGCAGAAAAGACCCCAGCCCCCAGCCCCACTGCCTTCACCCAAGCACTGGGTTTGAGCTGTAGATGTTTGGGTTCCCTGATTCCCCTGCCATCTGCTGGAGGCTCCACAAGGCTGGGCTAGCTCTTGTGTTACACTGAATTGTCGTAGGGCTAAATTTGGCTGCTCACTTGAATCAAATGGAATATTAAACACTTAACTTCATTTCTACTCATTTGCTCTCATATTTTGTTTTCAGTACAAATAACAACTCCTACTCTGAGTTTTCATGGTCTCCAGGGAAGCCCAGTTTTTTGTTATGCACTCTACTTTTCTCCTATTCCGGTTAGAAACTGCAGTCTTCATGATGATTATAGATGCTTACTATTCAACAAATGTGCTAATACTGTTCTGGCTTTACTGTAATCCTACTTGCTGTTGTTGTTATGTGCCATCGAGTCGTTTCCGACCCATAGCGACCCTGTATAGGGTTTCCGAGGGTGTAAATCTTTACGGGAGTAGAAAGCCTCATCTTTCTCCCGCGGAGCGGCTGGTAGTTTCGAACCGCTGACCTTAAGGTTCGCAGCCCGATTCGTAACCACTACGCTACTAGAGCTCCTTGCTAGATGCTATTAATATTCCCTTGTAGAGGTGAGGAAACAGGCAGAAAATAATTGATGAGAGTGACGTGCTTAGTTAAGTAGCAGAGTGAGAGACTGAGCACTGAAACCTACCATCAGTGTCTTGTTTGGACTCCTGTCTGTGAGATTTCCCGCCATCTGAGCACCTTTCCTGGTACACTAAACCTGCTTAGCATGTTTCAAGTTTTCTCTGTCTTCTAAGGGTCTCTTATGGTCGCTAACCCTTTTCTCTGAAACAGCGGCATCATTTCCTCTTATTTTTCTGATGACTTCTTCCAACATTTAGCAACCATTTCACTCACACTGGCAATAGGTAAGCCCAGTAGAAATACGAGGTTACTTTATGATTGGCTAGCACTTCTTACAAGCCTCCGTGTCAAAGACTTACACTTATTTATAGTGTGATTATTAATATTATGTGGCGTCCTGGTGTGATGATGTAGGATTGCTCGCCGCAAGGTGTCAGCAGTTCAAATCCACCAGCTGCTGTTTGGAAACACTGTAGGGTCACTCTGAGAACACTAACAGCAGCAGCTAGGAGTTCCGGTGGTGCTGGGAGTAAGCACTGGACTGCTAACCACAGGATCAGTGGTTGGAGCCACCAGCTGCTCCACGGGACAAAATCTGTCTGCTCCCATAATGATCGATGGCCCTAGACATCCTAGTACCATCACTGTGAGTTGGTATCAACTCAGCAGTAGAGGCTTTGGGTTTTATTATTATAGACTCATTGACTCTCTAGCATAATAAATCATTAGATTTTAAAAAGTTAACTTTCGAAAGTGGTTATTACAAACAAATACATTTTGTCACTATCTAATTTTTTTATGTTTTATTGTGAATTATGTGATAGTTTACATGGGAGAACATTAGCTTTACATTCATCCTCTCCTATATCGTTTCTTTGCCATGGTTACATCCCCTCCTTTCATCATCAACCAACTAAAGGTATATATACCCTGCAAGTCTGTCCCCCCATGGTCAGTCTCATTTCCTCTTTTAAGGTCTCTGATTAGATATAAAAAGTTCTAAAGAAATAAATATCACAATACTTCCTAGTAATGTAGCAAGCAGTAATGCATAGTTTGTGTGCTGTGTTGCCTTTTCGGAAGCTGTAAGCAAGCAGCCCTACAGTTATTTTGTTGTAACAATCTCAGTTTATCCCCAGGTTTGCAGTTCAAATTGGGTTTTCACCTCCCATCTTAACAATTTCCATTAGCCGAGTTTTAATGATTCATTATTTGTCGAAACCAAAGTAAGTATCTGGAGATCTTGGTGAAGAGAAACACCCGTTCATACTCTTCCGCAGGGGCCGAGTACATCAGCCCCGTCAAAAACCAGGCACCTTGGTGTTCTCTGGTGACAATGCTTCCCTCTGCCCATTGCCTTGCTGCCAGTTCACTCCTCTCACAGTACATCCTGGTGGTGACGGTCACATTAAGTGCTTCTCCACACTCGTCACCACCCAGATGTTCAACCGGCAGCTTCATTAGTGAGCCAACCAGCTCAGTCCCGTTGACTGTCCAGCCGCTGACGAGGCCCACTTTCCTGGGGATGAGAATGTGTTCGGCAAAGTCGTTTTCAGGCACACAGATGGGAAGCCCCATGCTGGGGCACTGGACGGGTTCCTCCAGCTCTAACAGGGACACATTATTTTCCCCAGTGTCTTCACTGTACCTCATGTGCACAGAAATCTTCTTGACCTTAATTGTCAGTGGGTTGTTACTCGTTCTGTTAAAATCTGAAACCATGAACCAGTGTTTAGAAGTCAGTTTGTCAAGGTTGAGAGAATAATTAGAAAGTGCTTTCTCCGTGACCCATGTTACAAAAGCGCAGTCTTAGCAGGATAGATACAACATGCGCTGGGTAACTGCATTGGTTTTCTTAGGTTTCCTCTCTGGATTGAAGGGTAAATAATAAGGAAGTGTGTCAATTAATTCCCGGGACCCTCCCTCACATTGTTCTTAAAATCAAACAAAACAAATATGGCTCTGCATCATCTCTTTGGGGGGGACAAGGGGAAAGAAGTGACATGGCCAGAAAGTAGGAAGAAATTAAGAGAAACTTCTCCAAGCAGATCAAGATTGGGCTATTTAGAAGTAGGATTTTAAGAGGACATTATACTGATGGAAATTTATATAAGGAAGATGATGAGCAAAAGCGTATTTTAAGGTTCTTCAGGTTCATAAGCTAGCATTGATGTAGTGTTTAATTTTATAAAGCACTTCACCTTACAACATCCCTATGTTGTTGTTGGTTATATGCCGTGCAGTCAGTTCCGATTCATAGCGACCCTGTACAGGGTTTCCGAGGTTGTACATCTTTACGGGAGCAGAAAGCCTCATCTTTCTCCCATGGAACAGCTGGTGGTTTCGAACTGCTGACCCCGTGTGTTTCACAGCCCGATTCGTAACCACTACGTTACCAGAACATCCCTATAGGATAGTAATTACTGCCCAGTTTTAACAGAGAAAACAGATAAATCAGGTAATAAAGCCCAGGGTCACATAACCAAAAGTTACATATAGTAGGGGGGATTTGAAGCCAACTTCTCTGACTCTAATCTAGTTAGAGATCTCCTATGTCACAATTTATACCACTTCAATGTCACATGCCATTCTATTATACTTTGTGAATTCTTCCTTGTACTAAATATTAGTTATCGTTTGCAATTGGGGCGCTGTGGGTTAATGCACCAGACTGCAAAGCTCTTGTGGTTTAAACTCACCAGCTGCTCCTCGGAAACCCTATACAAGGTTGCTGTGGGTTGGAACCAACTCGACAGCACTTAACAACAACAATTTCCTCTGCCCAGAGATTCTGCTAGATGTTTCACATATGCTTTCTGTGTTTACGATAAGGACCTGTGTACTGTTCTGTGTTGGATGAGAAAAAATTCATTCCTACACAGGGTAATTTTCCTTTCCAACGTGATGCTGCGAAATTTCATGAAAAACAACTTACTTATTGTCACACTGATATTTCTGTGCACGAGTGAACATTTTGCTGTCGTTAACACAAACGTGTCTTGGATTAGAACACCACCACAGAAGTCCTCTCCCTGGGAGTTGGTTAATTTTACCTTTAAAAGCCAAAACAGACAATAGTGAGTGACCGAGTGACTGACTGTGTGCCAGATTAGGAGGCCAGGTAGCTTTGTGATTAAATCTTTGTGCTCCAGAGACTGACTCATAAGTCCCACCCCACTGCTTAACAACTTCATGAAGGTTTACAAGTCACTGCCCAATCAGGCTAAGCTTTTGTGTTCTGAGCTGTAACACAGAGCGGATACTTCCCCTTGAGGCCAAGGTGAAGTAACAGATTTACCCTCCCACCTGAAACAACCTAAAAAACCAACAAAATACATGAACCCATGGTTTCTAAGATCCTGGACGTCAGGTAACAAAGGATAGAATGCCTTAAGGGTTCCCCTGCCAGGGGGAAGGAAGGATGCTGTTGTTGTTATGTTCCGTGTAGTTGGTTCCGACTCAGCAACCCTGTGGAACCCCAGTACAGGGTTTCTGAGGCTGTAAATCTTTACAGGAGCAGAAAGCCTCATCTGTCTCCCACAGAACAGCTGGTAGTTTCGAACTGCTGACCGTGAGGTTAGCAGCCCGATTCGTAACCACTATGCTACCAGAGCTCCTTGGGAAGGAAGGATAGGCTAGGGAAAAGCTAACATGCTACCTGAACTGAGATTGAGTTTAGCGCCCACCCAGGAGGACTGGAGTGGCTTGAGTTTGCAGGACAGCGTACTGGAGAGGAGAGAACTATACAGAGAACTCCAGAGACCTGCGTAGGGCTCCCTTTTCAACAGCAGTCAGCACACGTATGTGGTGACCTACAGAGCCTGCTGGCTCCACGCGATAAACACTGGTCTGTGAACAACAAGGTCTGTGGTTCAAGCCTCGCAGTCGCTTTGCAGGAGAAAAAGCTTTCTGCTCCCTCGGAACTGACAGGTACTCCGCAAGTATCAAATGTCTCATTATTTGACATTTTTGCATTTACTGAAGAATTCTGCCCACTAACCACATACACCTGAAAGTAACAAAACAAAGTCACGTTGGCTGTGGTGGTCATGTGGTTTTGCAGTTATGTAACGATGTGATTTGGCACGTATGTAATCATGTGGTCATCCATTTTTGCCAGAGACTTATTTTTGCATAACAACCTGGTCTTTGGAACTTAACCATGCTTATAAGGAAGGAGTAATGCCTGTTTCCAGCAGCTGCACTGGGAAACCAGTGGGGCCTTGAGCAGGCTCTTCTTTTAGGGAATAATTATCCCAAGACTGAGCACTGCCGCAGTCCCACTTGCTCATGAATCTTAAAAGCAATATCTCAAAGAATCAAACTATTTACAAATTCTTAACTGCATCCCAGAATGAAACTGAAGAGTAGTCATTAAATATAAAAATATTCACCACCCAACAAGATTAAGGAGTCCTGGTGTGGCGCTGTGGGCTAATGCATCAGACTGCCAAGTTATTTGAACCGCAAAATTGGTAGTTCAAGCTCACCAGCTGCTCCTTGGAAACCCTATACCGGGTCGTTATGGGTTGGAATCAACTTGATGGCACTTAACAACAACAACAAGATTAAAATTGACAATATTAGGCAACAATTTAAAGAAAACAGGCAGGTCTTCTGGGGCAAGATGGTGGAGTAGGCAGACATGTTGAGCAGACCCTCTACAACAAGAATATCCTAAACCAAGTGAAACAGATGCAAATGGTGGTTTGGAACCCCAAGAGTCAGAGGAAAAGGCGGAGAGGGGGCTTGAACACTCACAGAGAGGAAGCTAGGTAGGAACAGTGAGAGAGGAGACAGACAGGTGGGTTATCGACTGGGCTGCGGTGGCGAGGCCATCTTGAACCTTGACAGCTGTTGGTAGACAGTGTTCTGCAGGCATAGGGCATTCTGGGAGTTGGTGGTGAGGGGGTACCGTTCTCCCTTGTTCCCCTCACCCACCTGGTGGTCAGGGGCATGGCCAGCTCCTATCCTCACTCACCCACCAGCCAGTGACACCCCCTCCGTGCAGTCTTTGCCCAACCCGCTCTAGGGCCCCGGGCACACCCCCGCTTCCCTATGTCTGCAGGCAGTATACATCTCACCTCACCAGATTTTTACTGCTGTTGTTTGTTAAGTGCCATCAAGTTGGTTCCAATTCAAATTGACTGTATGTAGTGTTTTCAAGGAGTGGCTGCTGGGTTTGAACCATCACTCTTGCAGTTAGCAGTCTAGTGCTTATCCTACAACACCACACCAGAACTCCATTGTTTTGATTTGACAGACAGCAATTGTGCTCATATGGACCAACCACATATGAGCTTCCATCAGTCCCACCCACTCCTGTATACCTGATCAGCGATGATTAGCAGCCAACATCAGAAAAGTCTGCCCTGAACGATGCTACACTAACAGAAAGCAGATAACTGCATATCCACTTCTAGTCTCTACCACACCCAATAGGAGACAGGTGGTGACTATCTAAAATCAAATCAATCATCAGTTAAAGAAAAATCCAACAGTACTACAACGTCTTGGAGACCACAGACAAGTTCAGCTTATGTGAAGATAAAAGACAGAGTGAGTGTCTCAAAATGACCAGAATACAACGTCAGAAAACATAATGCTAGAAATGGTGTTGCAACTACCTGATGAGGAATTCAAAAGAATGATTTGTAGGCACCGCCAATGGACTGAGAATGCTCTGAGAAAGCTGCAGATGAAATTAAGGAAAACACAGAGAACACTTTAGAAGAATTCAGGAAACCACTACAAGACCAAGTTGACAAAAATAAATGGAAAAATTGGAAACCAAACAAAAGCAGCAAATAGAAATCCAGAAGATTAATACTCAGGTTTCAGAAATAGATCATATATTGAAGGGGCAGAGAAGCAGAATTGAATCAATGGAAGGTGGAATTAGTGTTTGAAGACAAATCTCTGTGTGTTCGTCTGCTAGAAGAGCAATCAGGAGCCTTGCTAGTGAAGTAAGTTATACCTTCTAATCCAACAGCTGCTCTGCAGGAGAAAGATGAGGCTCCTGTAAACACTGGCAGCCTCAGAAACCCTGTACAGTGTCCCTATAAGTCAGAACTGACTCGACAGCATGCAGCAGCCACAGAGAAACCATCAGGAAAAAATACAGAAAAATCTGAAGAAAACCTAAGAATATGTAGCGCTGTGGTCTAATGCGTCAGACTGCAAAGTTGTTTGAACTGCAAGGTCGGTGGTTCAAGCTCACCAGCTGCTCCTTAGAAACCCTAAACAGGGTCACTATGGGTTGGAAATGACTCGACAGCACTTAACAACAACAACAACAACATTAAGAGGAAACACTCTCAAAGCTGTTTGAATTGCAAGGTCAGCAGTTCAAGCTCACCAGCCGCTCCTCGGAAACCCTACATAGGGTCGCTATGGGTCTAACCGACACGACGGTACTTAACAATAACATCAAGAGGAATAACTTGTGTGTGATCAGAATTCCAAAACAGGAAGAGAAAAACAACCACACACACACAGAAAATTAGCAAAGAGTTGTCGAAAGAAAGCTTCCTAAACATCATGAAAGACAAGAAGATATGCATTCAAGAAGCTGAATGAACTTGAAAGAGGACAGATCCCAAAAGAAAATCACCGAGACAGAAAGGATCCCGAGAGCAGCTCAGAAAAAATGAAAGGTTACCTATAAAGGATTTCTCAGCAGAAATGATCAGAAAGAAGTTAATGGGATAACATCCATAAAAGCCTGGAAGAAAAAAAAAAAACTACAATCAAGAATAAGTTATCCAACAAACCATCTATCAGATATGACAGTGAAATTAGTTTTTTTTTAGATAAACAAGTTAAAAGAATTCATTAAAAAGAAAAATGAAACTTACAAAAAAATACTAAAGGGAGTTAGTTCTTGGATCGGAGAACCAACAGTTTGAGGTAAACACATGTGACAATATCAGGTATAAATAAATGCAGATATCGAAGTATCCAAAGTAAAACAAACCTACAAGGCTGAAAATAGAGAACTAGAAATAACATTAGGTTTCTTTTGGAAAACAACGTATTTGAGCTACTGAAAGGAATAACTTATCAACCTAGGCTTCTATGCCCAGATGAAAGTGCTTTCACAGGTGAAGTTGACAAAGACTTGCAGAAATACAAAGCTGAAAGATTCAGTCAGCTGCAGGGTTGCAGCACAAGAAATACTGAGCGGAGGCATTTAGGCAGAAGACAATGGCTACTGGATGGAAATCTGGTGCACAAAGGACTGAAGAACCCTGAAAATGGGAAACACATTCCATTAAACAGGTAACTACCCTACAGTAACATGCAAGATGTTTATCTTTATTACTTAAAGATTTTATCACGGTACCTTTTGCTTAAATAAAAATCATAAAAATGTAGTATAGGGTTTAAAACATATGAAAGTAAAATGTTTGGCAAAAAAGTAAGGAGGGACAAATGGTAGTGGACCCTTATAGGATTCTTATACTATAAACGGGAGGTGGGGAACGTCCAACCCGCAGGCTATATACATCATTAAGAGCTGTCGAGTTGGTTCCAATTGATAGCGACCCTGTATACGGTTTCTGAAGTGCTGCTGGTGGGTTTGAACTGCCGTATGTTGTTAAGTGCTTCCGAGTCGGTTCTGACTCATGAACCTGTATAGGGTTTCTGAGGAACGGCTGGTGAATTTGAACTACTGACTATGCAGTGTAAACCAACCTTGTGATCCAGTGCATTATCCCACCGAGCCACACCAGAACTCCATATGTTGTTGTTGTTAAGTGCCGTTGAGTCGGTTCCGACCCATAGTGACCCTGTACAGGGTTTCCGAGGCTGTAAATCTTTGCAGGAGCAGAAAGCCTCATCTTTCTCCCGTGGAGCGGCTGGTAGTTTTGAATTGCTGACCTTAAGGCTCGCAGCCCGATTCGTAAGCACTACGCTACCAGAGCTCCTTAGACCTCCATACGTTGTTGTTGTTGTTGTTAAGTGCCGTTGAGTCGGTTCCGACCCATAGCGACCCTGAACAGGGTTTCCGACGTTGTAAATTTTTACAGGAGCAGAAAGCCTCACTTTCTCCGG